CCTTTAGCGCCCCCTGGCCCCAGACCCCCACTTTGAAAAACACTAATTTACTCTATTGCACTTCAAGAAACACAAAGTAAATTGTACAACTTTTATGTAAAATCTTAGCTTTCTTTAAATAAGTGACTACACTTTTCATTTTCAAGCAAGAAATACAGTTAAACTGAACAACTGAACACTAAAAAATCTCTTTAATACCGTCGGCTATTAACAGTGAGATGGGCTTTTATTTGGAGAAATTATTGGTGATTTACTTTGGCATACCAGGTGAAGTAATACATTATTTAAGAGTGAGGGCGAGGGCAAAGCCGCCCTGGCGAACCGTCCACCTCGACCACATCAGAAACCTCCACTGCTCGCTCCAGTACTGCGTGTAACTTACGAAAAGCTGCCAGTCCCAGCATGGGGACCAGCAGGGCATAGTTCCACTGGTTCCCGTCACCAGCAGCTCCATCCCTCCCTCCAGGATTGGGCTGGATGTTCCATCTGGGAGGATCATTCAAATTGTTCATTTGAATGATGGAAGTCGCTGTAAGCACACACGCAGACAGTTTTTACTGACTTCTCTGAGGATTTTCAGACAGTGGATCCTACAGTACTAAAGAAAGGACTTAGCAGTGCTGGTCTGTCTGAAGAGACTGTTGGGTGGTTTGAGGACACTTGGATTTGTTTCATTTACCGACTATCTCTCAACTGAGAAATATCCAACCCTAATTTCCACATATTTGCTGTTGCATCTGCACATTATCAGGTGCTTTATAAGATCCAACAATTGTTTTAAACATTGTTCAGCCCACATTGTGTAATTTCAAATTCTAAGATGTTGTTTAATTCAAGAATCAAGTCTTAAGTCTATCTGTAATTTCTCTTCTTGGTTCTGAGACTGACTTAGTATCTGAGTGCAAATACTTCAAATTTCTGATTGATGATTCTCTTTCAGTCTGAAATCTTCAAAAGACTTAAAAAAACTAACTGCACATTCAATGCAAGTGTATTTGCAATTTTGGCATTGTTACACACATTTTTCTATCAGATTTTTTTATTATCTTTTTTGAGTATATTTATATATTTTCTTCTATATTTTTGGATAGACAGGGTAAGAAATTTCGTTCCAACACATGTATATGTGTGTTGCGAATGACAATAAAACTTCCTTGAATCCAGCTTATGTTAAAGCTCCTTTTCTTTAGAATCAAGCTTTATCTTATTTTTTAGACTATAATGCTCGATCCAGTCTACCACTGAGCTTGTAGATTCAAACTTCTTATTGGTAAACGGTGCTGAACTTGTGTAGTGCTTTATCAAGTCCATTTGGACTGAATGAGATGAATGTTACGGGGGATCAAACCCACCGGTTACAGGACGACTCTAACTAACCTCTCTGCCCCAATATTGTTGATAGTTTTTGTGTCAGTTAGAATGCCTTTGCCCTGCTAAACAAAAAACATTGACACATTCTCATTTCTACAGCTGTTCTTATCTCTTCTTATTTATTTCATCCAAAAACTGTGTGTTATCAAGATTTATTCTTATGACTGTACCAAAACCATACACAGAGTTAGAGAAAAAAAGATATTTAAAATTAATTAATTCATTTAATCTTAATAAATGAATTTAAGCAAATGTTATCAATAATAAGCTGCAAATATTTCATGAGTCTTTAGTTACAGTGGTGTGAAAAAGTGTTTGCCCCCTTCCTCATTTGCTGTTTTTTTGCATGTTTGTCACACTTAAGTTTTTCGGAACATCAAACCAATTTAAACAATAMTCAAGGACAACACAAGTAAACACAAAATGCAATTTGTAAATGAAGGTGTTTATTATTAAAGGAGAAAAAAATCCAAACCATCATGACCCTGTGTGAAAAAGTGATTGCCCCCTTGTTAAAATATACTATAACTTTGGTTTTTAACACCTGAGTTCAATTTCTCTAGCCACACCCAGGCCTGATTATTGCCACACCTGTTTTCAATCAAGACATCACTTAAATAGGAGCTGCCTGACACAGTGAAGTCCACCAAAAGATCCTTAAAAGCTACACATCATGCCGAGATCCAAAGAAATTCAGGAACAAGTGAGAAAGACAGTAATTAAGATCTATCAGTCTGGAAAGGGTTATAAAGCCATTTCCAAAGATTTGGGAATCCAGCAAACCACTGTGAGAGCCATTATCCACAAATGGCGAAGACATGGAACAGTGGTGAACCTTCCCAGGAGTGGCCGGCCGCCCAAAATTACCCCAAGAGTGCAGCGACGACTCATCCAAGAGGTCACAAAAGACCCCACAACAACGTCCAAAGAACTGCAGGCCTCACTTGCCTCAGTTAAGGTCAGCGTTCATGCCTCCACCATCAGAAAAAGACTGGGCAAAAATGGCCTGCATGGCAGAGTTCCAAGAAGAAAACCACTGCTGAGCAAAAAGAACATTAAAGCTCGTCTCAATTTTTCCAAAACGCATCTTGATGATCCCCAAGACTTTTGGGAAAACATTCTGTGGACCGATGAGACAAAAGTGGAACTCTTTGGAAGGTGTGTGTCCCATTACATCTGGCGTAAAAAGAACACTGCATTTCAGAAAAAGAACATTATACCAACAGTAAAATATGGTGGTGGTAGTGTGATGGTCTGGGGCTGTTTTGCTGCATCAGGACCTGGAAGACTTGCTGTGATAAATGGAATTATGAATTCTGCTATCTACCAAAAGATCCTGAAGGAGAATGTCCGACCATCTGTTCGTGAACTCAAGCTGAAACGAACTTGGGTTCTGCAGCAGGACAATGATCCTAAACATACCAGTAAGTCCACCACTGAATGGCTGAAGAAAAACAAAATGAAGACTTTGGAGTGGCCTAGCCAAAGTCCTGACCTGAATCCTATTGAGATGTTGTGGTATGACCTTAAAAAGGCCGTTCATGCTCGAAAACCCTCTAATGTAACTGAATTAGAACAATTCTGCAAAGATGAGTGGGCCAAAATTCCTCCAGAACGCTGTAAAAGACTCATTGCAAGTTATTGCAAACACTTGGTTGCAGTTGTTGCTGCTAAGGGTGGCCCAACCAGTTATTAGGTTTAGGGGGCAATCACTTTTTCACACAGGGCCATGATGGTTTGGATTTTTTTCTCCTTTAATAATAAACACCTTCATTTACAAATTGCATTTTGTGTTTACTTGTGTTGTCCTTGAATATTGTTTAAATTGATGTGATGTTCCGAAACACTTAAGTGTGACAAACATGCAAAAAAATAAAAATAAAAATAATAATAAAAAAAAAACAGCAAATGAAGAAGGGGGCAAACACTTTTTCACACCACTGTAAATGTGTTTTTAGTTTGTTTTGCATGTATGCATAATGACTCATATTCTGAGATGCTGTTTGTCTTGTCCAGGATACTTAAAAAAAGGATTTGCAGAGCCATCTGGGTGAAAAACTGCAACAACGGTGACTTTTACGCATCTCCCAAAATCTTACTGCAGTCACAAGAGCCTCTAGGGTTGCGTTGGGTAAATTAAAAATAATTAAAATCAGTTTAATGGGGAATAATTTGTGAAAAGACTCGTATCAGAACACAATTTCAACCGTGTCACCTGCACTAGCCTGTTTGGACTACATTTATTTCTTTAAAAACTTACAATATAGTGTTGTAAATACACAATAAAATACACCGACTCGTTATTAGTTACTCTATTGATATGACTGCGATAACCCCAAACCAGTCTTGTTGTGACAATGTCTCGGCTTTTGACAGTTCAAAAACATAAACAAGGCTAGTTTCAACTAGCATGTTTAGCGTTTAGCTTGGCTCACAGAGTCGGCTACAGACTTTTCTATACAAATAAACAGGGCACAGATAGCTATTCAGATCCACGATTGTGTCATTGTATGTTTATTAAATATATGCAACCGTGTCTCACCTTGATTGAAATGTCTAGGTCACTTATGCGCTTGTCTCACCATTTACATTTATTGGTTCCTACGTACTCAATGGACTTTTGTAGCTCACGCATCGGCAGAGGGTGTTTGTGGTAATAAACATAAAAATACATATCGTTTTACAACATAATAAAGACATGTTTTTAGTTTATGGAAAGTTTCTCGGATGTTTTGTTTGAATTTTATTACTGAATATGTTTTATTTTAGTTTTAGTATAAAATATTAGGCGTGCCTTGCATTTTGACACCCCTCTTTCAGAAATGGTTTAGTCCGCGGTCCTGCGCTTTATTTCTTCCTCCGCCACCGGCACAGTTCCGCACACACAGACAACATGGCGACTGTTCGTGTTGTGTCTCGTCTGCTCTCTAAGAGGGTGTTATTCAGAACAAAAACAGTAAGTATCAGCTATTCGACAAATAAACTTGATGTAATCATTTATTATCATGTGCATAAGGTGTGTTTGGAAATGTTGTTGTTTTTTTTTCTTCGCACTGAGTAAATTATGTAAGCGACGGATTCTAGTTTGCGTAACCAGAGGGTGTCTCAATGTGACACTCTGCTAACGGGCTGTGTTACAGCTCATGATAAAAAAACACAAATATATGTTTAGTTAATTCGCTTTATTTATTATGACGTGTTTATTACTATATACTAAGTGTTGTTGCTTCAGATACGTATTGTAAGCATTTATTTGTGAGAAAATGTACATCAAAACATTACTAAGTGACAAGGTTTAAGTGAATAAATCTAACCATTTTAAATGTAATTTATTTAGTGCTGTATTAAAAATAAATAAATAAACGTACACATCCATGCCCTAATGTCAGGTATGACCCACCTCATCTCTGTTATAGTGAAATAAAAACGCCCTCTCTGGTTTTAATTTACCTTCACCACTGTTTTGCTATTTTCTTAAAAACCTGAGCTTTTTCATACATCAAGAGGAGACTTCATAACATGAAGGCCTTTTTTATGATATGCCGAATTTCCAAAAAGAAGCACGTCATTGTATTTTAACAATTTATTGTGTCAGCTGTATTAAATACTGACTGAATAAAGGGAAAAAATGTAATTTCTCACACATTATTAAACTTGGAATAAAATATGTGAAACACTTAATACACCATGAACAGATATGTAAAACCGTTATTTATCAGTGTGCATTGCCAATGCAATGCACACTATTGTGATTCGTTTCCCATCCAAGTCATCTCAACTTTGCCATGCTTCTCCTCCTGCGTACTTTGCCCTACAGCTGCCATTGTAATTTATATTTGTAAAGCCGCTGTACCAAATGATGGCTATGCCTTTTGGTGCCTGTAAAACTTATAGTTTATGAAATATTAATGTTTAATGAATTATAATGACAGTCAATGGAGCCTTGTATTGGTCCAATACTGCCCCATGCTGTACTCAACTTGGTACTGCAGCATAGTTTACTATTTCAACTCGGTAGTTCAGTGTTTACAGTACTAATATGATAGTATTTTGATGTTTTACTATAATATTGTCTTAATACTGCTCGATTGTTGTAATATTATGCATTTTTGTGTCAAAACTCCATTGGTCTAATGGTCTATGTCATGGACTTTCATGCGAGAGATCAGGGTTCAAAACCCAGCTAAGGCAACTTTAACAAAAAATCTCTTCAAATTTCATCTTGTCACACAATTACCTTAATTACAAACACCGACTGACGTGACAGGCACAAGCTGGTATAGAAAACACATTTGAACTTGGTCAAAGTTCATTCTGCAAGTCCAATGCTGCAGGCAAAGCCATGTTACATGGCAATGCACACTTGTTTTTACATCGTAAAAACCCATGTCTAGTTATTATTGTTATTATTAGGATAGATTTACCTTTAGAATATTTTTTCTCTAATCCTTTTTTTGGTGCCTTCTTGTTGGTTCTGTCTGTGGCTAAAACACTAAAGATGATTGTTTTTAAAACTCTGGGGTACTGGGTTTAACTGGACTTGAAGTTACCAGCCAGCGTGGTTC